GCAATCTCAGCTAATTGCAACCTCCGCCTCCTGGGTTCAAGCGATTCTCCTGCCTCAGCCTCCTGAGTAGCTGGGACTATAGGCGCACGCCACCATGCCCGGCTAATTTTTTTTGTATTTTTAGTAGAGACGGGACTTCACCGTGTTAGCCAGGATGGTCTCGATCTCCTGACCCTGTGATCCGCCTGCATCGGCCTAATCCAACGCATTTGGCCTAATTTTTATATTTTTATATTTTTAGTAAAGACGGGATTTCGCCATGTTGCCCAGGCTGGTCTTGAACTCCTGACCTCATGATCTGCCCGCCTTGGCCTCCCAAAGTGCTGGGATTACAGGCATGAGCCACCGCGCCTGGCCAGAAACAGCATTTTTAAGCAACCGTTTGCCTTGGGTTCTCTAGGCTATCAAGAAGTGGGGACTTTGGTCATATGCATATAGGAAAAAACAAATCTACTACTCTATTTCCCTTGCAGCCTGTATCAACAACCAGAGGCAGCCCAAAGGGTTCTTCCTACCTATTATAGAAGATGTAACTCTCCTCTGAGGCCAGAATAACTCTGGAAACAGAGATGACCCAACTAGAACTGGGGAGGTTGATACCATTTCTTACCAATTTTAGCAGGAACAACTTAGCAATTAATAGTGTCACCCTGGCCGGGTGCGGTGGCTCACGCCTGTAATCCCAGCACTTTGGGAGGCCGAGGCGGGTGGATCACGAAGCCAGGAGATCGAGACCATCCTGGCTAACATGGTGAAACCCCATCTCTACTAAAACTACAAAAATTAGCCAGGTGTGGTGGCAGGGATCTGTAGTCCCAGCTACTCGGGAGGCTGAGGCAGGAGAATGGCGTGAACCCGAGAGGCGGAGCCTGCAGTGAGCCGAGATTGTGCCACTGCACTCCAGCCTGGGTGACAGAGCAAGACTCCGTCTCAAAAAAAAAAAAAAAAAAAAAAAAAAAGTGTCATCCCACTTACTGTAGGTATTACGAAAAGAAAAAATGTTTTCTTTCTTTCTTTTTTTTTTTTTTTTTGAGATGGAGTCTCACTCTGTCTCCCAGGCTGGAGTGCAGTGGCACGACCTCAGCTCACTGCAACCTCTGCTTCCCGGGTTCAAGCGATTCTCCTACCTCAGACTCCCGAGTACCTGGGATTATAGACATGCACCACCACACCCATCTAATTTTTGTATTTTTAGTAGAGACAGGGTTTCGCCATGTTGGCCAGGCTGGTCTCGAACTCCTGACCTCAGATGATCCACCCACCTTGGCTTCCCACAGTGCTAGGATTACAGGCGTGAGCCACCACGGTGCCTGGCTGACAAAATTGTTTAAACTATTTCTTTATTTATTTTAGAGACAGTTTCACTATGTTGCCTAGGCTGGAGTGCAGCAGCCAATTCACAGGATCAATCATAGTGCACATCACCCTCGAACTCCTGGGCTCAAGCCTCCCACCTCAGCCTCTCAAGTGGCTGGGACTACAGGTATGCACCATCACGCTCAGCTTTCAAATTATTTTAAAATAAAAATAAAACCGAAACCTTAACAATAATTCCTCTCCAGCATATGGCTAGTCTGTTTTTTGAAAGGAAATGAAAGACTGAAATCCCTCAACATTTCTCACTCCGGGCAGCTAACTGGTTTCAGAGCTGGCTGGCCTGACTTCTCATAGAAGACTAAGGGAATGAAGTGACTGCATGGCCTGGCTCTGGTGTACTGGCTGAGAACACAGCACCCACCTCTTTCTGCTGCCATTGGCTTTGTCCTCCGCCAATTGTCTGGATTCTGGCAGCCTCTTGTGAAGGGGCAAGGAGATGATGTGCTCTTAAACTCTCACCCGTCCCAGCACCATAGCCCAGAATGTCATGGAAACTCAAGCGATAGTGAACTCTGAGATAAGCCCAAGGAAGATGCAAACTATCAGCACCATCAGGCGCTTCAATCGCACCTTGTGGTGGCCGCAATGAAGGAGAAACATAAGCACTGAGGAAGTCCTCTGCTCACCTCGTTTCCTCTCATTTTACAAACTCTTGTACAACATGCCACTCCTCCCTGCCCCTCATAGTTTCCAAGCCTTGTAAGAGCAAGTGGAGTGCTGGCCCACACTTTACACAGCTACTTGACAGGCTCTTCATTGCTGGTAAATGACTGTCACAAATAGGTACTAGGGGTCATGCCAAAGTTCGCACATAAATGGAGCCTCACGGACACACCAAAGGGGAAAAAAGCACCAGGGGCCCTTGCAGAAAACCCCGGAGCTAGACAAAAAAAGACAGGTCTGCAGGTCCTCCCAGAGCACGGACTCACCCAAATTTCAGCCCTGAGCCCCCCATCTCCAAACGACAAGCTCCTGCTCAGCAACTGGCCTTCTGTGCTCCCCATTATCCACCAACAGCTGGGTGGGAAAAACCTAGTCCCTTTATAACCTGTAACCTCATCGTGACCTCTGGTCCCAGAGTAGACAGGACTCCCCAAGACTCCAGCCCTGTGCACTCCGCTATCATCACAGGGGCTGAGGACGGACAGAGCCCCAACACATACCATACCTCAACCAAAGGAAGGCTCTTTCATAGGCAGTGCACCCCCCCTCCACCCCCCACGCGACAAACTCAGAAGGTCAGGACTGAAGAGCAAGCTGAGATGGAGAAACAGGCCCAGAGAGGGGCAGCAAGTGGCCCGAGGTCACACAGCGAGTTCGGAACGGGGCTTTACTAAAACCCTAGCCTCCGGATTCCCGAGTACCCCATTCCCACCCGCCTACCCTCGTCAGGCCCGCCTGAGAAGAACATCACAGAACTTCTGCCCCAGTGTCCCCGCCTCCGGAGGGCCACCAGGACTTTGGTCTTCGTCCCGTGCGTCCACTGGCCAAACCGCAGACCCTGCCCACCCAAGGGCCGGGCCCACCGCCGCCCCCGGCCCAGCTCCCGAGCCCAGCTTCCCGCCGCCCGCCGGACCTGCAGAGTCGCACTCCCTGGAGCCGGCGGCGGCAGACATTTCCCTGCCTGCTTCCTCAAGCTCTTCATCCCGCCGCCCGCCCCGCGCGCTCCGCCCCCAGACGAACCCGCCCCATGTGCCCTCTCCATCAATCGAAAGCCTGTCTTTTCCATCGCTCCGCCCCAAAACAGAACGGAGCCCGCCCCCTGTGGGTGGGTCTCCTCCAATCCCCACCGCTCCTTCCGAGACGGATACCTGCCTCCGCCAATTGTCGCGTACCCTGGCCAGGTACCTGGAGCCGAATTACAACCGCGCGGCGTTGGCAGCTCCAGCTCCGGCTCTGCGCACCTGTACCGAGACAGCCACAGGAATTCAGGATCCCGGGTCGCAGGATCGAAGCCTGTGCAGGAACAAAGGGGCGGATTGAGCCACGGGCTTGATGAGCTAGTTCTGCATGACTGTATTATCCCGAGAGACTCGAGCCCTCTACCTCTCGCGCACAGAAGGGTTCTGTGCGCACTAAGGTTCAACTGCAAGAATAATTGTGAACACAAAAGTACTATTCCAAGGCAGAGACCACCGCCATTCCTTGAACCTCACGGTAACTATGTGCCAAGGTCTGTGCTTCGTATAATTATCTTCCTACTCCTCGTAACACACCTTTTATGAAGGAGGAAACTATTATCCCAATTTTCTTTTTTTTTCTTTTCTTTCTTTCTTTTTTTTTTTTTTTTAGACGGAATCTCGCTCTGTCGCCCAGGCTGGAGTGCAGTGGAGCGATCTTGGCTCACTGCAACCTCTGCCTCCCGGATACAAGCGATTCTCCTGCCTCAGCCTCCTGAGTAGCTGGGACTACAGGCACGTGCCACCATGTCCAGCTAATTTTTTGTATTTTTAGTAGAGACGGGGTTTCACCATATTAGCCAGGATGGTCTCCATCTCCTGAACTCATGATCCACCCGCCTCGGCCTCCCAAAGTGTTGGGATTACAGGCGTGAGCCACCACCCCCGGCCTATTATTCCAATTTTATATACAAGGCAACCAAGTTCAGAGAGGTTAAGTCTGAGGTCGCAGACTGACTAGCAGAGTGGAGGATTCAAACAGATGCCAGAGGGTTGGGGGATTTCACCACCCATAACCTCCACCAGCAGTTGGCAGCCTACACCAGAGAAACACATACTCTAAGTAAGCAGTGTGTTTACTATGAAATATATCAAGACAAGTCCTCTGTTTCTCCCTTAATCATACTGCCACTCTCCTTTCTATAAATTCTTTTTTTTTTTTTTTTTTTTTTTTTTCTGAGACGGAGTCTCACTCTGTCGCCCAGGCTGGGATCTCAGCTCACTGCAAGCTCCGCCTCCCGGGTTTATGCCATTCTCCTGCCTCAGCCTCCCAAGTAGCTGGAACTACAGGCGCCCGCCACCTCGCCCAGCTAGATTTTTGTATTTTTTAGTAGAGATAGGGTTTCACCGTGTTAGCCAGGATGGTCTTGATCTCCTGACCTTGTGATCTGCCCGTCTTGGCCTCCCAAAGTGCTGGGATTACAGGCTTGAGCCACCGCACGTGGCTCCTAGAAATTCTTGAGTCACCTCTGTCTCTGACTCAAACCCTCTGACTCAAACTATCTGACTCTGGAACAATTGCTCTTAACCCTTCTGCTATCCTGCCTGCTCTGTTTGTAGAGCACCATGAACCTGACCGAACTGAATGGGATGTGCAAGGACATGATATATGAGAAGACTTGAGTTCCAGTCCTGACTATGGCACTGCCAGACGCAACTTTTAAGTTATCTTCAGCATTTACATACTATTAACCCGTACTTGGCCTTGTCTGATCCTCACAAAACTCTTGGATTATTGGAGAAAGCAAGTTTATACTTCCATTGTATAAATAAAAAAGCCAAGGTCTGAAAAAATAAAATATAGTAGGACCAGGCGCATGCCTGTAATCCCAGCACTTTGGGAGGCTGAGGTGGGAGGATCATGAGGTCAGGAGATCGAGACCATCCTGGCTAACATAGTGAAACCTCATCTCTACAAAAAACACAAAAAATTAGCTGGCCATGGTGGCTTGCACTTGTAGTCCCAGCTACTCGGGAGGCTGAGGCAGGAGAATCCCTCTAACCCGGGAGGTGGAGGTGAGCTGAGATCACACCACAGCACTCCAACCTGGGTGAAAGAGTGAGACTCCGTCTCAAGGAAAAAAAAAAAATACAAAAATTAGCCGGGTATGGTGGCGGGCACCTGTAATCCCAGCTATTCAGGAGGCTGAGGTAGGAGAATCACCTGAAACCAGGAGGTAGAGGTTGCAGTGAGCTAAGATTGCACCACCGCACCCCAGCCTGGGTGACAGAGCTAGAATCCGTCTCAAAAAATTAAAATAAAATAAAAAATAGATAAAATGTAGTGTTCACATTCACATCTAGGAAGTAACAGAGCTGGGATCTGCACTGAAATATCTGAACTCCGAGGGCTTTGGCATCAGAACCTGAAGTTTCAAACCTGGTCCTATTACTTCAATTTTATTTTTATTTTACTTATTTATTTATTTATCTATTTATTTTGAGACAAAGTATTCCTCTGCTGCCCAGGCTGGAGTGCAGTAACATGATCTCCGCTTACTGCAACCTCTGCCTCCCAGGTTCAAAGGATTCTCCTGCCTCAGACTCCTGAGTAGCTGAGATTACAGGCACGCGGCACAACGCCTGGCTAATTTTTGAATTTTTAGTAGAGACGGGGTTTCACCATGTTGATCAGTCTGGTCTCGAACTCCTGACCCCATGATCCGCCAACCTTGACCTCTCAAAGTGCTGGGATTACAGGGGTGAGCCACCACACCCTGCCCCTATTACTTCAATTGATGATTGATCTTGGGTAAGTTACTTGCCTCCTCTGTGTCAATTTACTCCTCTGTAAAACAGGATATCTACTACTTAGTATTGTTCAGAAGACTAAACGGAGAAATACAGTTGTTGTGCATTATCTCGATATCTAGAAAAATGTCTGGCACACAGTACGTGCTCAATTAATGTTAGCTAACTGTGATCTCTTGTTAGCCGAAGTTTCTCTAATAGTAGACTCTTAGCCAAGACACTTCCATTCTCTGGCCTTTCGTGCTGTACAACATTATCCATCAAGGACTAGGTGAAAAAAAACTAGTTCCTTTTGCCTCTAGTGCCTCTAGTAAAATGAAAGAGTTGGGCTGGTGGATATCTAAGAGTCTGTCAATACTGAGAGTCCCTTCTCACCCAGGTCCCTCCCTAAGGAAATCTTCATCATGACAAGCACTCGGAGAAGTTGGTTGGTACAGAGTTTCTCTGCTGGTTACCCCAGGTGTGGTGTGGACTTCAGAAGGATGAGCAGGTAAGGGGACTGCAAGACACACACCCAATCCTAAAAGAAAGAAGTCATCCTTGACTCCTCTCTCATTCTCATAGCTACCAACCTCTGTTCATGCAGTCAACAAATACTTATTAAGTGCCTGCTATATGCCAGGCACTGTTTTTTGTTTGTTTGTTTGTTGGGTTTTTTTGTTTTTTGGGGTTTTTTTTTTTGTTTTTTGTTTTTGGAGACGAAGTCTCGCTGTGTCCCCCAGGCTGGAGTGCAGTGGCGCGACCTCGGCTCACTGCAAGCTTTGCCTCCCGGGTTCACGCCATTCTCCTGCCTCAGCCTCCTGAGCAGCTGGGACTATAGGCGCCCACTACCGCGCCCGGCTAATTTTTTGTATTTTTAGTAGAGACGGGGTTTCACCGTGTTAGCCAGGATGGTCTCAATCTCCTGACCTTGTGATCCGCCCGCCTCGGCCTCCCAAAGTGCTGGGATTACAGGCGTGAGCCACCACACCCAGTTTTTTTTTTTTTGTTTTTTTGTTATTTTTTAAGATGGAGTCTCGCTCTGTCACCTAGGCTGGAGTGCAGTGGCACAATCCTGGCTCACTGCAACTTCTGCCTCCCAGGTTCAAGCGATTCTCCTGCCTCAGCCTCCCGAGTAGCTGGGACTACAAGCACGTGCCACCATGCCTGGCTAATCTTTTTTTTTTTTATTTTTAGTAGAGACGAGTTTCACCATATTGGTCAGGCTGGTCTTGAATTTCTGACCTTGTGATCTGCCCGCCTTGGCCTCCCAAAGTGTTGGGATTACAGGCGTGAGCCACCGTGCAGGCTGGCACTGTTCTTATCTCTGCAGATGAAGTTGTGAAAGTAACCCAAACTCACTGCCCCCATGGTGCCCTCATTCTCATCAGTTGCAAGATGCCTCTGTATCTTGCAAGTCCACCCCTCCTTCCCCATTCCCATCGCCAGGGCTCTCCCAAGTCCCAGCCTCATTTTCCATTCCTTAGCCATTCCAATACATTCCTATCTCCCTGCTCTGGCCTCTCTTTTTCTATACTATTGCCAGAGGAACTTTTCTAACTTGCAAATCTTGCCTTATCACTCTCCAGCTTAAAATTCCTTAATGGCTCTTTGCTGGGTAGCTAAGACCCTTCATGAGATGCTCTCTGCTGACCTTTCCTGGCTTAGCTCTCTCCACAAAAATTCACCTCCTACATGAAGCCTTCCTGAGCTGTTTACAGGCGAGAGGGTGCCACGAGTTAAAGTAGCACTGTAGTAAAACAAGAAAGAGCTCAGGTTCTTGTTTTTTTTTTTTTTTTTTTTTTTAAGGGGGGTGGGGAGACAGAGTCTCGCTTTGTCACCCAGGCTGGCAATCAGTGGCATGATCTCGGCTCACTGCAACCTCCACCTCTTGGGTTCAAGCAATTCTCTTGCCTCAGCTTCCCAAGTAGCTGGGACTACAGGTGTGGGCCACCACGCCCAGTTAATTTTGTGTTTTTAGTAGAGATGGGGTTTCACTATATGTTGGCCAGTCTGGTCTCGAACCCGTGACCTCACGTGATCCACCCATCTAAGCCTCCCAAAATGCTGGGATTACAGGCATGAGCCACCGTGCCTGGCCTGGAGTAGAACTATATAATCCTGCCTAATCCTGGCTCTGTCATTTACCGGCTAGGTACTCAGGCAACACTCTTATCCTCTCTGAGCCTCAATTTCCTCATCTATGAAATGGACACATAGATAATACTTCCTTTGTAAGATCGTGGTAAAGAGTAAATGAGGCCAGGCTGGGCACGGTGGCTCACACCTGTATTTCCAGCATTTTGGGAGGCCGAGGCAGGTGGATCACAAGGTCAGGAGTTCGAGACCGGCCTGACCAGTATGGTGAAACCTCGTCTCTACTAAAAATACAAAAATTAGCCAGGCATGGTGGCCTGCGCCTGTAATCCCAGCTACTCAGAAGGCTGAGGCAGAACAGTCACTTGAACCCAAGAGGCAGAGGTTGCAGTGAGCCAAGATGGCGCCACTGCACTCCAGCCTGGGCAACAAAGCAAGACTCCGTCTCACACACACACAAAAAAAGTAAATGAGAGGCTGGGCGAGGTGGCTCACGCCTGTAATCCCAGCACTTTTGGAAGCTGAGATGGGCAGGTTACCTGAGGTCAGGAGTTCGAGACCTGCCTGGCCAAAGTGGTGAAACCCCATCTCTACTAAAAAATATAAAATTTGGGCAGGCACAGTGGCTCACGCCTATAATCCCAGCAGTTTGGGAGGCCAAAGTGGGCGGATCACCTGAGGTCCAAAGTTCAAGACCAGCCTGGCCAACATGGTAAAACCTGTCTATATCAAAAAATACAAAAATTAGCCCGGCGTGGTGGCATGCACCTGTAGTCCCAGCTACTCGGGAGGCTGAGGCAGAAGAATCGCCTGAACCCAGGAGGTGGAATTTGCAGTGAGCTGAGATTGTGCCACTGCACTCCAGCCTGGGCGACAGAGCCAGACTTCGTCTCAAAAAAATAAAATTAAAAAAAAAAAATTAGCCAGGCATAGTGACAGGTGCCTGTAATCCTAGCTACTTGGGAGGCTGAAGAAGGAGAATCACTTGAACCCTGGAGGCAGGGGTTGCAGTGAGCCGAAACCGCGCCATAGCACTTCAGCCCAGATGGGCAATAAGAGTGAAACGCGGTCTCAAAAAAAAAAAAAAAAAAAAAAAAAAAAGCCGGATACGGTGGCTGGTGCCTGTAATCCTGTAATCCTAGCACTTTGGGAGGCTGAGGTGGGTGGATCAAAAGGTCAGGAGTTCGAGACCAACCTGGTCAACATGGGGAAACTTCATCTCTACTAAAGATACAAAAAATTAGCTGGGCGTGGTGGCACGCGCCTGTACCAGCTACTTGGGAGGCTGAGGCAGGAGAATCACTTGAACCCGGGAGGTGGAGGTTGCAGTGAGCCAAGATCGTGCCATTGCACTGTAGCCTGGGCAACAGGGCAAGACGCCACCTCAAAAATAAATAATTAATTAAATTTTAAATTTTTAAAAAAAAGGAGTAAATGAGATAATGTGTGAAAAGTTCTTGGAATAGTGCCTAACACATGCCAAATCAACAATGAATGCAAGCTATGAGTCTTCTTGCAGAGGGGAAAAACATTTTCTGAGTTCTTGCTCTGTGGTAGGCACTTTTACATGTGTTATCTCATTTAATTCTCACGACCCCATGTATAAGGTATTCATTACATACAGAAGCCTATAAAAACTATAGTTCAGAGAGGTGAAGTAGCTTGCCCAAAGTTGTCAGCTAGGAACTGGCAGAGATGGGTTTCAAACTCAAGGGGCTGTATAGCTTCAAAACCCAGGCTCTTTGGTGTTATTTCTATTATTATACCTCCTACAACTACTATTAATAATCATAAAATATGTTATCCTTATTATTTTAAGATTTAGAGATAAATTTCCCACTGCTTAATAAATTTTAAACCTCTTGGCTGGGTACCGTGGCTCATGCCTGCAACCCCAGCACTTTGGGAGGCCAAGGTGGGTGGATCACCTTAGGCCGGGAGTTCGAGACCAGCCTGACCAATGTGGTGAAACCCCATCTCTACTAAAAATACAAAAAATTAGGCTGGGCGTGGTGGCTCATGCCTGCAGTCCCAGCACTTTGGGAGGCGGACGCGGGTGGATCACCTGAGGTCAGGAGTTCAAGACCATCCTGGCCAACATGGTGAAACCCCGTCTCTACCAAAAATCCAAAAATTAGCTGGGCGTAGTTGCGGGTGCCAGTAATCCCAGCTACTCGGGAGGCTGACGCAGGAGAATCGCTTGGACCCAGGCGGCAGAGGTTGCAGTGAGCCAAGGTCACACCATTGCACTCCAGCCAGGGCGACAAGAACGAAACTCCATCTCAAAAAAAAAAATTAGCTGGGCATTGTGGCGGGCGCCTGTAATCCCAGCTACTCAGGAGGCTGACGCAGGAGAATTGCTTGAACTGGGGAGGTGGAGGTTGTAGTGAGCCCAGATTGCACGACTGCACTCCAGCCTGGGCAATAAGAGCAAAACTCGGTCTCAAAAAAATCAAATAAATATCTTAACCAGGCATTCAAGGCTCTATAATCATGTTTCTACTTCCTTTTTTTATCTTATTTTTTGGAGACAGGGGTCTCATTATATCGCCCATGCTGCAGTGCAGTGGAGCAATCATAGCTCAATGTAGCCGTGAACTCGTGGGCTCCTGTGATCCTCCCGCCTTAGCCTCCCAAGTAGTTGGGATTACAAGCAAGCTACTAAGCCTAGCTGCTGCTTCTGCTTCCTTTTCCCTTATCCCCTAGTTTGAATCCAAGGGCAGTCCACTTCCTGGCACAGCAAGCAAAAAAGGTGAAATCCCTGGAGGCTCAGGCTCCACAGCAAGACCACAGAGAAGACCAGCCCTCTGCCACTGCCACAAAGACAAGAGATAGCCTGAAAGAAGACAGCTAAAAGTGCTGGGTAAACACTTAAGCCCCAGCACCTGTTGGCTTGAATTTGCATGTCCTATGACTAATCCTCTGCTCTGTACACAAACTCTCCTTTACCTGCTGGGCTAACTTCCCATTCTAAACAAATTTTGTCCTAGAGGCCACTAACCTTTCACTGCTAGCCCAAAGCTAGACCATTTTCTCAGCTGCAGTGAGTGACAGCAGGGTTCAGGGGCAGGAAAGCCAATATGACAGATGGTTCTAGCTGTGAGTTCTAGCTGTGGGTAGCAGACAGAGGGAAGCTGGGCTGCTGGAAGCTGCTCAGCCTGCCAACTTGTAAGAGATTCTGCATCACAGTCACAACCTACCCTGTGCAACCCTGCCCAGAGCCAGGAGGGCAAAGGGGCCCTGCTCTGGTTAACACTCAACTCCAGAAACTGTAAACACAAAAGCAAACACCATGGTTGGCTGGCAGCCTGGGGGCACTGTGGCTTTACACCAGCAGCTTTGAAAGGACACAGAAACCATGGGGTGTGAGTCTAAAGGGTGGAAAGTCAACTGGGGTGGGTGGGTGAATACCCAGCACCCACCCACCCCCAGGGAGCCTGGGGTCTTACCTACCTGGACAGGCTCTGGCAACTTCGTGGAGGAACATCCTGGTTTGTGAACCAAAAGGTAGCTGGAATACGAGGCTAAGCTCTGCTGTGTCCAGCTGGACGGTCACATCTGAGCCTGCACAAAGGAGTCAGGAAATGAACCCTTGGCTGCCAGGAGCTAAGTGTTTGATGCAGCCTAAGGCTAGAGTCCTCAGAATGGAGAATCAGCAACCCGGACTCCCAAAGCCCCTTCAGCCCTTAAGCAACTTACTTGGGACTGCTGCTGGCACAAGGAAACCCTCTGTACCCTGAGTTCCAAATTAACATCATCCCCTCTTTATAGAGGAGGCAGATGAAGGCTCTGAAAAGTCAATAAGCCTCAACTGCAGTACTAGATGGAGCTGGGAGAGAACAGGTTCTCTGGATATGTAGTCTGTACCCCTCCTGATGAAATGAAAAGCACATAGAGGCAGACAAGAGGGGATGTCCATGGGCCAGTCTACCTGACTGTGCCAGGTAGTGTGATAGGCACAGGGAATACCATGGTGAAGAGAATACGTGTGTGTCCATCTCAGGGAGCTAGACTGTAGAAGGCTTCCCTATTCATAGCATATACCCAATACTGGGCACATGGTGAGCACTCAAAACATCTGCTGAACTAAGAGACAAACAGAAGTAACCTAGCACAGCAATTAAGAGTGTGGGCTCAGGCCAGGCACGGTGGCTCACACCTATAATCCCAGCACTTTGGGAGGCAGAGGTGGGTGGATCACAAGGTCAGGAGTTCGAGACCAGCCTAGCCAATGTGGTGAAACCCCGTCTCTACTAAAAATACAAAAGTTAGCCGGGTGTGGTGATGGGCACCTGTAGTCCCAGCTACTCGGGAGGCTGAGGCAGGAGAATGGCGTGAACCCAGGAGGCGATGCTTGCAGTGAGCAGAGATCACGCCACTGCACTCCAGCCTGGGTAACAGAGTGAGACTCTGACTCAAAAAAAAAAAAAAATGTGGGTTAGGCCGGGCACAGTAACTCATGCCTGTAATCCAGCACTTTGGGATGCCAGGGCAGAAGGATTACTTAAAACCAGGAGTTTGAGACCAGCTTGGAAAACATAGTGAGGCCCCCCTCCCCCATATCTGTAAAAAATTAGCCAAATGTGGAGTCCCAGCTACTTGGGAGGCTGAGGTAGGAAGATTGCTTGAACCCAGGAGGTTGAAGCTGAAGTGAACCATATTTGTGCCACTGCACTTCAGCCCAAGTGACAGAGCAAGATCCTGTCTCAACAAATAAAATAAAAGAGTGTGAACTCTAGAATCTGGATTCTCTGAGTTTGAATCTTGGTTCCACCCCTTACTAAACTGTTTAATTTCTCTGGGCCTCAGTTACCTTGTCCATAAAATGGAGATGAAAACAGTGATAACCTCATAGAGCTGTGAGAAAAGCCTGATTTAGGCCGGGCGCGGTGGCTCACGCCTGTAATCCCAGCACTTTGGGAGGCCGAGGAGGGTGGATCACGAGGTCAGGAGATCGAGACCATCCTGGCC